TTGAATGATGTTTGCCAATTTTGCAGCCTTTTGGGCTATTGACTAGGTAATACTCAATCCAGATTCCAGGCCCTTCGTGAATGATTTTTATTTAAAACTATGGTTCCTCAGATTCAATCTGTTCTTTTGAAATGTTTATAAATATGGACTCCATGAATACTATTCTATTATTACATCCCTTTTGTATAAATGTTTAGTGGACTATATTATATGTCTTGAATTTCACTCTGCTAGTTATAGAAACCTTATGAGATTCTGTGGGATGAGGACTAGTTTTATAGGTTAGAGTGGATATTTGTCCAGATCTTAATATGATGTGTAGAACACCCTTTACTCACGGAACTATTGAGTATTTTTAATTGGGACTCTATACCTCATTGAACTTCAACTTTGTATCCATTTCATTTAAGGGTAATTGGTTTGGTAATCTTGTTAATTTCTTTCAATTTGTTAGAATCATGGAACATCATAACCCTACTTGCTTGTTAGTATCATAACTTAGGTAGTAATGGTGACCTTCATGTTTACCAGATAACAAATTTAACAAATGTGGAACAACCCAACACACTCTATCCAGTGAACAGTTGCATATTAGACCCTCTTGTTAAGTGTTCAACCCAATTTGTTTGTTGGATACCTTTTACAGTCAGCAGGCGCCACACATATTCTGATATCTCAAATATGTTTTGATCCAAATTGCAAAAAACAAATGTGGGGGGCCAATTATGCATGGTACTTCTCGACCATGTCTCTGAGGGACAGTTGAACGAGCAACTCATGTTTTGTTCCATTTTTTATGGCCCTTATTTCTGTAATTTAAAGCGGGGGCCTCTACAAGGTACCTTAGCAGATGTGGTAGGGCATCTTGCCTTCCAACAAATATACAATCCTGGTATCACTCCATGCTCCATAAGATGATTTAAAAACAAAACCATGTGATGACTCATGTGCTGATGTCTCTCCCTGGCCGTCATCCAAATGCCGCCTCACCACTCAGGCTACATATTGAAGGATGTCACACTTATTCACTCATCTATATATTGGCATAACTGGACTTTCAACCAACACAAGTCCTCACAAACTCAATTTTCTCAGCTTTCACTCGTTCTCCACAAAGTCTTTGAGAAATTTCATTTTTTTCACTCTTCCTTCACAAAGACATATCTTTTTAGAATCATGGCCATCCGTGTGCCTCGTGTCCTTAATGCTAAGCAAATTCTTGGACTCTCTTTATTGGCATCAAGTCGTGCAACTTCAACACCCATAGATGTCCCAAAGGGGTATTGTGCAGTTTATGTTGGGCAGAGCCAAAAGACGCGATTTGTAATTCCATTATCATTATTGAATCAGCCTTCATTCCAAGACTTGTTAAGTCAGGCTGAGGAAGAATTCGGGTTTGATCATCCAATGGGTGGTCTCACAATTCCTTGTAGTGAGGATGTCTTCTCTGATCTCACTTCTCGTTTGCAAGGAAGATGAGACAGGACATTAGCAGATTGTAGTAAAGTACAAACAATTTTGTAAAGCAGTTCATGTATTATTATCTTCTTTTTCTCTTCACAGAGGAGCTTCTAAATGATGTAGTTCCTCATATAAGAAAAAACTAATGTAGATAAGTCGAAGCAAATCTCTCACATTTTATTCAATTTTGGAGACAAAAGCATTATATTCAGTTGAAAGACTTGTTCCCGTAAATTCTATTTCAATTTCCGCATTATTTTTTCTATTTTGTGGGCATTGCAAGAAAACCCAATGAAACATCACTAGTGTTTGATAAAGTTCTCCTGATAAAGATTATGTCACCAAAATGCATTTTTATTGAGTTATTGCAGAGGCTAAGTTGTCGACTAGAGGACTCATACTGCTTTAGCAAAAAAAAATTTACCATGCCAAGCTTGGTGCTTTTATGTCATATTATCAGCAATATCAGGAGTGTGACTTGCAACATTGACATTTCCCCATATTTCATTCTAGTTATTAACATAGCAAGGAATAGGAATAAAGACGATTGGAGATACAATCATGTATCTGTGACTAATCCCGCTTTCCCTCTTTTATCTGTTTTCCTTTTTTATTTTAGAATTAAGGGAGGAAAGAGAAAGAATAAAAGTAGATTCAACAGATGCTAGACTCAAGTTTGAATTTCAAATGAAAAACTCATTGCCCATACTCAACAAATGTATGCTTGACTGATGTTTGCCAATTTTGCAGTCATTTGGCTATTTACTACGTATAATACACCATCCAGATTCCAGCCCCTTCATGAATGTTTTTTATTTAAAACTATGGTTCCTCAAATTTAATCTGTTCAAATGTTCATAAATATGAACTCCATGAATACTATATTATTACATCACTTTTGTATAAATGTTCAGTGGACTATACTATATGTCTTGAAGCTCACTCTGCTAGTTATAGAAACCTTACGAGATTCTGTGGGATGAGGATTAGTTTTATAGGTTAGAGTGGATACATGTCCAGATCTTAATAAGATGTGCAGAACACCCTTCACTACTCACGGAATAACCGAGTATTTTTAATTGGGACTCTATGCCTCATTGAACTTCAACTTTGTATCCATTTCATTTAAGGGTAATTGGTTTGGTAAACTTGTTAATTTCTTTCAATTTGTTGGAACCATAGAACATCATAACCCTACTTGCTTGTTAGTATCATAACTTAGGTAGTAGTGGTGACCTTCATGTTTACTTGACCAACAATTTAACAAATGTGGAACAACCCAACACACTCTATCCAGTGAACATTTGAGAGATCTGCATATTAGACCCTCTTATTAAGTCTTCAATCAAATTTGTTTGTTGGATACCTTTTACAGTCAGCAGGCGCCACACATATTCTGATATCTCAAATATGTTTTGATCCAAATTACCAAAAACAAATGTGGGGGGCCAATTATGCATGGTACTTCTCGACCATGTCTCTGAGGGACAGTTGAACGAGCAACTCATGTTTTGTTCCATTTTTTATGGCCCTTATTTCTGTAATTTAAAGCGGGGGGTCCTCTACAGGGTACATTACCAGAAGTGGTAGGGCATCATGCCTTCCAACAAATATAGATTCCAGGGTATCACTCCAAGCTTCATAAGATGATTGAAAAGCAAAACCATGTGATGACTCATGTGCTCATGTCTCTCACTGGCCCTCATCCAAATGCCTCCTCACCACTCAGGCTACATCTTGAAGGATATCACACTTATCCTCTCATCTATATATAGACATAACCGGACTTACAACCAACACAAGTCCTCACAAACTCAACTATCTCAGCTTTCTCTTGTCTGAGAAATTTCATCTTTTCACTCTTCCTTCAGAAAAAAACATACCCTTTCAGAATCATGGCCATCCGTATGCTTCGTGTTCTTAATGCTAAGCAAATTCTTGGATTCTCTTTATCGGCATCAAGCAGTACAACTTCAGCAGCCATAGATGTCCCAAAGGGGTACTGTGCAGTTTATGTTGGGCAGAGCCAAAAGAAGAGATTTCTGATCCCTGTATCATACCTGAACCAGCCTTTGTTCCAAGACTTATTAAGTCAGGCTGAGGAAGAATTCAGGTTTGATCATCCAATGGGTGGTCTAACAATTCCCTGCAGTGAGGATTTCTTCATTGATCTGACCTCTCGTTTGCAATGAACATGAGATAGGTCATTAGCAGATTGTAGTAAACACATTTTTGTAAAACAGTTTCATGTATAAATCCCTTTTTTTTCTTCTATTCAGAAAAGTGCATCTTAATAGAAGTATGAAGAATTATGCAGACTAGTTATGGTAATTTTTCTTACGTTTCATTTGATTAGAGACAGAATTCTTTTTTTTTTTTCTCTTTGTTTTAATTGCAACAAACTATCCTTAATCAAGCTCTGTTGGCAACTCTTACTCTTGGCCATGGGGTATTTTGAGCCTATAAAGAAGCAGAAGCACACATGAAAGTTCAAATTCTAGTATATCTATTTAAGATTTTACTCTTTATTCGGCCGTTTGAAGCTAGTTTTTTTGGGTGCAAAACAGTAGTTTAAAAAATAAAATAAAAAAGTCAAAGTTCAAAAAGTTTGAAACCGGTTGGAGTGTTTCTAATAAAGTTGATTTTTCCAGACGCGTGATAAAAGTTGTTTTTGTCCAAAAAAAATTGATAAAAAACCGACAAAATAAGTCCGAATCCAAACTGACTATTTCTTTTCCTTTGAAAATCTGACAAAAACTAAAATTTTCAACTATCTCCAAACAGACCCATTGTCTGAGCAATAAAGCATCTGCACCATACTCAAACTTACCTTGGTTCCCACTGGGCTGAAGTAGAATTTTGTTTCAATCATCCAAAAGGTATAGAAAAAATTTACGAGCAATTTAGTAAAGCAGGTACTAATGAAACCCCACACATCTTTTTTTTTAATAAAAAAATTATGATGTAGAATGAGAATTCATAATTATTTTATTTTTATTTTTATTATTTATTTTGAAGAAGCGGTGATGTTTTTGTGTCCCATTCTCGCTGTTGTCATAACAGCAAACAGGCATTTAAAAGCCAGATTATCACTTTGACTAAAGCGTACTTCTAACTGAGATCAAGTCAAACACCTAGAAGGCATTGGTTATACCATTTGATGTCCACCCCATTTCTCTCTCATAATACGCAATACTTTAACTCTGTCACTCAATTCTTATACCACTGCACTCAAACAAAGAACGTTGGCGCCATTAAGAAGTTTCATGGTCATCTACTAAGGACAGGCTTCCTCTTTATCTCCCCTAACCTTCAGACCCAACTCATATTCACATACAGAACATGCCTTCACAAGAACAACCTTCAAACTTTAACAAACTTCTACAAATGCCTCAATCCCAAAAACCCATTACCCTTTAATTCAATCATTTCCTTGTTTTGTCAAAATGGGTTGCCGTCTCTTGCTCTCCAGACCTTTTCTTTCATGCATTTCAATGGTGTTCCCATAGACTCCTACACTTTGTGTAGCTCTTTGACAGCTTCATCTTATACTCAAAATGTTCTGTTTGGTAAACAACTGCATTCCCTTGTGGGAAAATCAGGGTGGTTGTCGAGTGTGTTTGTGGGCAGTGCTTTGATAGATTTATATGCAAAATCATCACTTGTTAATTTTGCAGCAGCGGTGTTTGATGAAATTCCGGTTAAGAATACCGTGTGCGCAAACGCACTTTTGTCGGGTTATGCTGAAGCTAAGATGTGTATTGATGGACTTGAACTTGTTCGGAAGATGCATGGAATTAATTTGAAGTATGATAATTTCACGTTATCAGCAGCTTTACATGCATGTGCTGGGCTATCTGCAATAGAATTTGGTAGGCAGGTACATGCAAATGTAATTCGTACAGTTCCTGATTTGGGATCTGATATGTTTCTGCAGAGTTTGTTAATTGAAATGTATGGAAAGTGTGGACTGGTAGAGAAGGCTAGGCAAGTTTTTAGTATGTCAGGATTTGAACCAAATGATACAAAGAGGGATGTAGTTTTATGGAGTTCAATGCTTGGTGTATATGGAAGAAATGGGAGCTATATAGAAGTGATTGGATTATTCAGAGAGATGCTGATGGAGCGGATTAGACCAGATGGGGTGGCTTTTGTGACCGTCATCTCGGCCTGTGGTCACACAGGCCAACTGAATCTTGGGATTCAGTACTTTGAATCCATGGCTCGTGATTTTGAATTATACCCCACCCCAGAGCATTATAGTTGCCTGGTTGATTTGCTTTGTAGAGCAGGTGAATTGGACAAGGCATGGAAACTGATGAATGAGATGCCATATACAGAGAATGGCGGTTGCACAATTGCCATGTGGGGCACCTTGCTTAGTGCTTGCAATGAGTGTGGAAATGTTGACCTGGGCAAATTGGCCGCCAGAAGAGCATTGGAATTGGATCCTCAGAATGCTGGGATTTGTGTTTTACTGTCAAATATGTATGCAAGGTTTGGTATGTGGAATGAGATTGGGCAATTGAGGGAATTGATGAAAGAAAGAGAGCTACAGAAAGATGTTGGATGTAGTTGGATAGAAGTCACAAGTTGAATTCGGGGGCAATTCTCTAGGGAATAACATATATTCCCTTCTGACTTTTCAGTTGTTGAGTTTGGTGATAGGCATTGCTTAAGATAGCATCCCCAAGTAGCAGTTACACCGATTTTTTTTGGCAGTCTCATCACAAAACTGAAGTTATGGACCTATATAAATGTGACAGGACTCTTGTTTAAAATTTATTGACTGCCATTATTCATCTTCGTAAGTCAAATTTGGTGAAGTTGTTGTATGGTTGAATTGGATACTGGCAGTTTGGGAAGTTGGCTAGTTTCGATTATATTGATAAGATGAAGCTATGGATTAGGTACACTCTGGGAAACTCAGCTGATTCATGATTCAAGTGATGCCATGTAAATGGCACTTAAGTCCTCAATGGACGGAGGATAAAACCAACTCCAACACAAATTATCTTTCTGTAGTTAACCAAGAATAAGTTTCAAGTGATTCCTTAACAGGGCTATTAGTGCAGCATCTTAAGTAGGCTCATTTCCAAGCCTTCATCTTATTGTCTTTGGGAATATCTGGCTGCCTCTGCTTCACATGGATTCCCCACCTCGTTTGAGTGCTTGTTCCCGAGCTTCATCTCCCTGCGCTCGACTGTATCTTTGTTTTGGTCAGTAAGTGTGCATAATACTCTGTTGTCACTCTCAGCAGCCTGTAGGTGTAGTGAAATTAGGACAGTTTAACTACTGCAATGATGCATTCAACAGAAACAGGGAAGCTATTGAAGGTTCCAATCCGAGGAGAGGGAGCAACAGGAAGCTCACGTGGGGGATTCTCTTGACCTTAATGCTGAGTGTTACCATGGTGAAGATATTAGTTGCTGTAATTATTTTTCAAGGATTAATTTTCTTGGAAAGAGTATCATTATTATAGGAAGATCAATGATTTTTTTTTTGTGGAAATTCTAGTAAAAAATTATACTGGGTTCCAATTTACTCGCCTACTTGTCATGTAGTCATGCCCATGGTGGTTGTCCCTGGTATAAAAATAAAGTGGGTTTTGGCTCAACGATAAGATTGTTCTATTTATGACTTGAAGGTCATTTGTTCGAGTTATACTTGCAGAGATAAAGGCTACCTATATCTAACCCTCTTGCAGAGATAAAGGCTACCTATATCTAACCCTCTTTAAACCCAACAATGTCAAAAGTTTCGTACACTGATTCGTCCTTTTAGTAGTGAGTTTAGGGGGTGCTACATATGAAGTGCATATGAATCAAGTGGGACTTTGTATGAATATGCCAAAAGTTAAGTGGCACTTTCTGTGAATATGCCAAAATTTGGGGTGACAAGTAGAAATATCCAATAGCACGGAGGGGCATGAAAGCAAAACTCACAGATGTTACAACCGAAAATTTAACAGTGAAAGATGTTGTTTGAATTTAAAAAATTGATTTAATTTGTTATATAATACTGTAATTTTATTAAAATTATTAGATAAATAAAGGCAATACTCCAGTCGATGCGCTCATCGTACTATTCAATGAAAATTTGACACGACATCAATAGGGAATAATTTTGTGTGACTTGACTAAAATACCCTTACCGAAATTGCCCCACTGGCTTTTTTATTCGTCCCTAGTGAACCATTCTGTAGTCCTTGCCGTATCTGATATTTATTCAACCCTTACCATCGTCGACGCCGTACTCTGCACCGCGGCAGTGTGCAATCAAACGAACCGTATTTTCTTCATATTCACTTCGATCAATCTCAAGAGGAATCGATTTGTAGAATGCCACAGAGTGGATCGACGAAAAAGCACGCACCAGATCAGCTGGAAATTGGTGGGCCCACTCCAAAATCGCAGCGCATCAAAATGGGTAAATCTTCGGACGACAATGAGAATAAGGTAAAATTTTTCACTTCCCGAAATTCAAATTTGACGAATACCCATTGTTCAATTCACTAAAATAACACTACCCATAAATGCCAAAAAAAAAAATCGAGAAAAAAGATGATTTCTTTGAATTTCTTACTTTGTTGTTGTTTAGGGGTTTTAATGTTGTGGATGGGTTTTGTGTAGAACTTGAGTAAGAAACTCAAAGAGCTTGAAATTAGTGTTCCGATAGTGTACGGTAACGTTGCATTTTGGCTTGGTAAGAAGGCGAGCGAGTGAGTATTGTTTAAGCTGATAAGCTGTATTTACTGTCTGTTACATGTTTGACAAAGTGACCATTTGAAGTTCTTTGATTATTGATTAGGTTTCAGTCACACAAATGGACGGTTTATGTCCGCAGTGCGACGAATGAGGATCTGAGTATAGTGATTGATCGTGCTGTTTTTCAACTGCATTCGAGTTTTAATAATCCCATGAGGGTTGTGGAGTCTCCACCTTTTGAGTTATCGGAGTCTGGATGGGGTGAATTTGAAATTGCCATTACCCTTCACTTCCACAGCGATGTTTGTGATAAGCCATTACATTTGTGAGTTGCTTTACCTGTTATCTGTCTCTGATTTTTCAAGGATGCAATGCATTTTTTGTGTATGGTATTCCCAAAGATTTAAATGTTTATTCAATTACATTTTTCCCTCTATTTAAATTTCCCTTACAATTAACATGCTTAAACTATTTACAGATATCACCATTTGAAGTTGTACCCAGAGGATGAATCTGGTCCCATGTCCACTAAGAAACCTGTTACTGTGGAAGCATATGACGAAATTGTTTTTACCGAGCCTTCAGAAAGTTTCTTTGCTCGTGTGCAGAATCACCCAGCGGTTATCGTTCCTAGACTACCTGCTGGTTTTAGTGTACCTGCTCCTGGTGTGCTTTTCTTTTTGGTTGTGTTATGAATTGATTTTGCTCTTCATTTAGGTATTAAATTACCTTGTATATCTCTGTGATTCCAACAGAGGAAGTGGATAAAAGGAAGAGAGGTGACACCAAAGACAATCCCTTGACCCCTTACTTCACAAATTTCTCTGAGGCAGATGAATTATTAAAGCTTGCTGCAGCTCGTCAGCAGGTCAGAATGGATAGAATGCTTTCCCTTTATATGACCCTTTTTTGTTTCTACTTAGATACTGGAAAATTCACTTATGTTCCACCTGAATGGAAGTACATGCTTGCTTGCAACCGTGTGAGTTGTGTATGTCGTATTTAAATTTGTAGAAAAGCTTATATGAATCACATAGACGGTTCTCTAGAGTGCGGTACCTGAACCATTGAACTACTCATGCAAGTACTAGTCCTTATGGAAAGCTACTACCTATCTGTATACTCTACTTCCTCTCTGATATTAATGTTTGGTTTTTGTGCTAATCTATCATTTTTTGTAATGATGGGGTTAAGATTGATACAATATCCATGGTGGAAGATTTGTATCTCCATTGAATCTTAAAGGGAATTGTAAAAAGAGATTATCTTTCTCAATCAAGTCTAGAAAAATTTACTCCATCCCTCCCAATATTAAAATCCCTTTTCTTTTGTTATATGCAAAATTTAGTATTCTTTACTTTCCTACTATAAATTTCTTCTGTAATCGTGAAATGTTGTGTAAAAAGAGTAACATATAGATTTTCACCAGGCAAATGGCTAGTCATTAGCCTTGCTAGCTCATCATTGGTACAAAGAACACGAACTAATCTCCCTCAAAAGAAAAGGATAAGAAGTGGAAATAGAAAGTCAAATGATTGGACTCGTGCGGAGGGTAGGCCAGATGCAAACCTAATCTTTGACGTGGCATATTATTCCACAAAGTAGCTGCTCTTAAACTCGAACCTATATTTTCATATTTGACATGAATTCATAATTTTCCAAAAAAAAAAAAGTAAAGTTGCACCACTCTCAGTTTTCTTCATGCTTTCTGGCCTGCCACTTTTTTTTATTGCAAATGTTCTTTGGTGTAATCATCTTTGTTGCAATCAAGAAACCTTGCCTTTGCCTTGAAATTCTTGCAGTTCCGAATGCTGCAAATTTTGCTGCTATCTTAAATGTGGTGTATAGCTATGTTTGTTCCTCGCTTGGAAAACTTCATTTTCCTTCATGTGACCACTTGTTTGATCCTAATATTTCTGAACTTTCTGTGCTTTTAAATCTTTTATGATTGCTGTCATAGATTAAATTATGCTCCCATGTTGATCCAGTGTTGTAGGACACACTTTAGTTTCAAAATTAATCTTGGCGCTCAGCGCAAGAGAGGGCTTTTAGGGCCTGATTATGTTTGTTTGTCACTCAAGTTGGTAGCATCTTGGGCCTTGAGGTTGCCTAAGGTAGTAGTACTAAAGAATAAGGGTTTAAGGGTTGAATTAGGACAAGACAGAGTTCAACAGGTGTTCAGTGTTTTTAAACTCCTTGGATCTTGATGGAGTTTAATGGAAGCTCAGGATTAGATTCCTAACTAAAATAACTTTACATGCAGCGATATCTTGCTGATGCCTCCTTGCATCATACTGAAACCAACACTTTCACTTTGTTCTCTATTTCAATAAGTACAAAACTGAAAATTCTTTTAACTACCCACCCATTAGTCAGTTACTTTGGAAGCAAATTTATTACACTGTTTGAATAAACCAGTTCATCTGAAATGGCTCAGGTTTCTACTAGTTTATATCTTGTGGATCTGTGAATTTCAGAAACAGTTTCACAGGCTCTGCACAATACTGATAGGCAGGATTTTGTTCCATTTTATTTCCTAGATTTGGTGTTTCCACATCAAAAAGGAACTGGGAGCTTTTCAGTTTGCGATCATAGCGATGCATCATAGCATTTACTTTAACTTATTTATTTACTTTTCATAGCACAGATAAAATGTTACCATCTGAGGGCAAAATCCAGAAATTGAGGTTTTGGCGGTTTATTTGAATGTGACAGGTGCAAGCTCATATTGCTAGACTCAGGAGGCAGTTGACTTTGATAGATGGACAGAATCAGCAGTTGAAATCTACCTCTGACCTCTGAATGTACATTATATTTTGCATTATTTATGGAACTTTTTTTTTTTTGGTTAGTATTTATGGAACTTTACTCTTTACTGAGAGTTATTGGCAGAAATCTTTTTATTTTAACTGGATGAAAATGTTACAATGCTATGTATTTGCTCTATACAACTTGGTTAGTGGGGAGTCTTCAAGGAGGAAAATTCTTTCATTGAAAAAGATTACTCCATCTTGAAGCTTCCAAGGTCCCACAGCTTCCCCCTCCCCACTAAGTTTGATCAACTATTTCATCTTTTGGTTGGAGCTATGCACCTCCTTAATGGCCTCCACCCAATTTGGAATTTGGTGAGATACAACTGTCAGTTCCCCAGTTTCTTTTTCTTCCTTCCCTGACAGTATATCAGCCACCCCATTCTCTTTCCCTTTTTTATACTCTAAAATAAAATCAAACCCCAATAATTTTTAAAGCCACTGTTATTGAGCTACTGTTATAATTCTTGGAGACCATAAATACTTGAGACTCCTTTGGTTAGTTCTCACAAGAAATTGACCCCCCAACAAGTATGGACGCCATTTTTGTGGAGCCAACACCAAGGCTAACATTTCCTTCTCATAAGTGGAAAGAAGCAAGTGTTTTCCTTGCAAAGCATGGCTGTAAAAAGCAATAGGTCGTTCTTCTTACATTAGAACAGCTCCAATTTCTGATCTGGAAGCATCGCAGTCGATGATGAACCTTTTCTCAAAATCAGTGAGTGCTAGAACTGGAGCCCTTGACATAACTTCCTTTAATTTTAAAAATGCTCCATCCAAGGCAAAACTCCATGCGAATTAGTTCTTTTTTTACATACGATTGAGTGGCCTTGCAATCTTCCCATAATCTTGAATGAATTTTTTGTAATATCCTGTCAAATCGAGAAATCCGTGCATGGTTTTGGGTGTGATAGGTTTGGGTCATTCCATCATACCAGCAACTTGCTCAGGATCTACAACTTCTCCTTTTCCTATAATGACATGGCCCAGATACTTGACTTCTTTTTGGGCAAACTGGCATTTTTCTTTCTTTACAAATAGTTTGTACGATTTAAGAAGTGAGAAAGTGATTTCCAAATGACGAATATGGTCTTCCCAGGACTTGCTATATATCAAGATATCATCAAAAAACACAAGTATGAACTTTTTCAAATATTTCATAAATCCTCATTAATCAATTAGTAAGTCCAAATGACATCACTAAGAATTCGTAATGCCCATGATGAGTTCTAAAAGTTGTCTTTGAGACATCTACTCAGAGCACCCTGATTTGATAAAACTCTGAACGCAAATCTAGTTTAGTGAAGAATATTGTACTATTCAATTCGTCCAATAACTCATCAATCATTGAGATGAGAAACTTGTATTTAATTGTGATTTTGTTGAGAGAACACTTGTCAACGCACAAACACCACGACCATCATGCTTTTTCGCCAAAATGACTGGGGAGGAATATGGGCTATTGCTAAGGCGAACAATTCCAGAATCGAGCATCTCATCTACTAATATGGATAGCGATACCACTTTACACACAGTGGACCACTCCATGGAATCAACGGGATTTAGTGGTCATGCATGCGTGGAGGTGGCAAGCCCCTGGGTACTTCAAAAACGTCCATGAACTTGAGGATGAGCTGCTGGATATGTTGGTTGTTGGATACTCTATGGGATGGTGGGTGGTGTCCTTCAATTGCCCATAACTGGAGCAACACCCATGACTTGCTCTTCCTTATCTCCCGATAGAATTTAAGGTCCCAAATTACCTCATTTTTAGGGGCTGACAAACCTTGTAATGTCACTTCCTTGCCATTGACTTGAAATTACATCTGTAACTTGGAAAAAATCCCAAAGAATTGGGCCCAACGTCCGTAACCATTGTGTCCCCACCACTACATAATATCCTTCCAAAGGAAGCAAATAGAAATCCACAAAAAGGGGACGCCTTGTAATGATAGCTTCACACCAGTGCAATTACCTGAACTAAATAGTTTTTCTCCCGAAGCTACTACAACTTCAAATCTACCTCCCAAAGCTGGTTATAGGCCCACTCTTTTAGCCAATGCTTCACTCACGAAATTGTGAGTGCTCCCAGTGTCCACTAGCACAGTAGTTGCTACTTGACCAATGTTGCCTTTGATTTGCATTGTTTCGGGTGCACGAGCACTAGAAATAGCATGAAATGAAATTTCTGGTACTTCCCTATTATGACCTCACCATTGGGACAAGTTGCGAGCTTCATATACTCGAGCTAAGCCAATTGCTGAAGATAAGGATATAGGCATCCTAGCTAGAACATCGGCCTTGATGTTATCTTTTAATCTATTGACAAAACACTCACTTGGCGGGCTTGTGGAAAGGGACCTGCTTTAGCAAGTAGCTTTTCAAATTAAATTTGATACTCCCGTACCGATCCTGTTTGTTGAAGCTTGGTGAGCTTGCCAAAGAAATCATAGAATTGCTAGGACAAACCGAGAGTGAAGTCCTTCTTTGAATTCATCTCAAGAGACCACATCCATCTCTTGCTTGAGCAGTTGATACCACAATGGAGCATCTCCCTCCAGATGAAACGATGTCAAGGAAACTCTTTTCCTTCAGAAGTATCATGAAACTGGACGAACTGCTCAACTCTACACACCCAGCTTCTTGGGTCTTCTCCACCATTGAAACGTGGGTAGTCCAACTTTACTAGTTTAGGAGTGTATGAAGGATGAAAGTTGCTATATTGCGCTCATCCATTCCCGTCTTGCCTTCCGCCACTGGTTCTGGGATGAGTGGGGCAGTTTTCCCCTACCTCACGAATAGGTTGTGCCACTGATTGTTCGGCACTAGCACTCAACTTGTCGAACAGCTCTGTGATTTTATCCATGATCTGCTGTTGCCCAGTTACGAGAGAGCCCACGTTGTGCTCCAGTTGTTCCACTTTCTGGTCTATTCCTAGGCGATGATACCACTTTGGTATGGTCACAGTAGTGGTAGAGTCATTTCCAATGTTTGATGTCATAGAAGAAGAACAAAGAAGGTTAATTTATGTCGGTAACTTTGAGGGAACCCTGGCCTCCTGTTACTCAAAGAGATTTTTGATTAGTCCGAAGATACTTTTTATTCATAGCAGCTGGAATTTATATTGTGTACGGATAACAGAATTCAAAAACAACTCAACATTTCAAGGCAATAAAATAGGAACAGACTCCACAACATCTTAACAAACTATAGAACAAAACAGACGTCCCTTACTACTAGAATTGTCTAGCTAACTCAGTCTCTTTATTTCACATCCTACTGGTTTGGTTCTCTTCCAAAAGGCATCCAACTGCCACATACCACCCACACACTTCAATTGTGACACTGCAGATGTACCTAGAGGCCACCTTAATTTGCTGTTTATGTTGGCGAATCGAAAATAAAGAAAAGGACATTTGTAGTCCCAATATCTTTTTTGAACCACACCCCCTTCTTTCCAGAAATTGCTGAGCCAGGCTGAAGAAGAGTTTGGGTTTGATCACCCTATGGGGGGCCTCACCATGAAAATTTCCTTGGTCTTACTTGCAGTTTGAATTGGCCTGACAAAATTAGAAAAAAAAATACCAATTAACATAGATAGTTCACAGGACAAATACACCCTGATATCATCGACTCAAAAACTTACCTTTTCAAATTTGTAGTTGGAGATTAATTGGGTTGTTTTTGTAAAAAAAAAAAAAAAAATTGTAATATATTGCTGTCAATTGAGCAACTTGACATTTTCTCTAAAATCTACTATGTTGTGATTAGTTATCTCTTTCGTTTATATGATTGTCTAGTGTCACTGGAAAGTAGTCACCTTGAGGTTGCAGTTTCTTCATTTTGCAGCTGAGCTACTCTTGTGATGTGCACGCTTACTGATCAAAGTGCCTTCGTGCACATATAACTTGAGAGATATAAATGTGCAACAGAATCTGTTGGCAATTGGGAGGAATCCTTAGCTACCCTCTTCAATCCATTAATAATATGAAAACCTTCTGTCAGTTGAATTATCCAATGCCATAAATTTTATGAGAATACCGTGGTTTACAAATCAACAAAACCGGAAAAAAACTACACAAACTAGTACATGTCGTAACCAATTAGTGCCGCATATTAGGCATCCCAAGCTTATCCAGTCGTAAAATACCTCTAAGTTGTCGAGGCATTAGCGCACTATTGTCTCTCTTACCGATCTCTGCCTTGCCAAATAATCCACAGTTTGGTTTTCCTCCCTACGTTGATGTTGAATAGTGAAATTAAACATGGTGAGCTCGTAGGAGTCAGGTATTTGTTGCATGGTGATCTCTTTCCTAATTTCCAGTAATTCTTTCCAATTCACTCATCCCTTTCAAGAATGAAACAAAGTAAATTGTGTATCTTGATAGTTTAATGTCGCATCTTCCTCTTATTCCCACAGCGAAACCTGTTAGTGAATGAAGTTGTAAGCGCTTATTTGGCTTAATTGCGTTATCAAACAACACACACGGCTATGAATCACACTCACACGCACACGGTGTGAACTTACTGGAGTGGAGAATGACTCCCACCATGCTTGCTGCCACCATTCTGCCAGGAACTGATGCCTAAAAGTAAGGGGCGAAGCACAAACTACGTTTACTCCGCCGCATGAGGGTCAATGTCATTTTTCTCAAAATAAAGGTGTGAGAAAATGTTATGCTGGCCATGCTAAATTGGCCAAACTCATTTTTAGGTTTGTATTGTTATGGGTTCGATTATGAGCCAAAAAATTATTAAAATTAATTTTTTTGATTGACTTTAAATTTGATACGGCTTTTTGATTCGCGGTATCGATCCTCTCATAATAAATCTACCCAACGAGCTCAATGGGTCTTGTTCTTCGTCAACTTTGCCCTTTCTTTGGCATTTTATTTATCGTTTTAGGCTGAGGTGGGATGATTCTATGCAAATCCATTCGAATCAGTTGAGTCAAACGAGATAGTATCGAATTGGCCCGATTAACAATCGATTTGAACCGTTGACTTACAATTTTCATAAATTTAAAATTTAAAGTAGGCCAACTATTTACCTTAAGGAGTATAAGGAGGCCAATACATCTGTAGGAACTTGATAGGATAAAAGTCGTGATTGGGGAGAGATTGCTATTTTTAAGCTAGAAGT